ATTAACGAGGGGTTGCCTCTAATTGCTGGCCCTGTGGATTTGGACAGAGACCCTGAGGCAGTGGTGGCCCCTGCGCAAGTGTCCTTATCGGTCACAGATTTCGGTCTCATTGGCATTGGAGATGTAAATAGTTTCCTGACTGCTCATCAGGCTTGCCCGGCACCTGTGGCTCGGTCAGAGCCTCTGTCACAGTGAAAGTCTCCAGTCACAAATTTGTCACAGACCCAGCAAGGACTTTGACCTGACTGAGTGAAATTCTGGAACTTCCGCTGTCCTGTAGGGACAGTTTGGAGCTGTTGGTCGGAATCCGTCTTTCCATCCTCCTTGATCCAAGGCTGCAGTGAAACCAAACACCTTTCTGCTCCAGTGTATCCTGACACAGTTGTGCAAAGTGGTGGCTGGCTTTCCTGAGTGGGGAGGTCCCTCACCCCCCTCCTAGCTGACCACGTGTCACCCCGGTGATGCCAGTCCGCTCAGAGAGTCCCTGCCTCGGCACAGGGGACGCGTCCCTTGGCCCCAGCAGGACAGTCTGAGGGCAGAGGTGCTTTGAGAAGAGGGATGTGTCACCATCATGGTGAGGGTGCAGGCTGGGGGTCTGAGAGCCTGGGAGGGCTGCAGGGCAGTTCCCTGCAGAGATGGGCACGGCGATGCCAAGGGAGGCTGACCCTTCCTCCATGGGCAGCGTGTTGCAGTAGGAGCCACTCACCCTGTCCTCCTCCCAGCAGCCATGGGTCATGACAGGCAGGCACACAGCTGCTCATGGGATGGAAACACTGCTGTGAGCAGTGAGTAACGGGGTCATGCTGCTGACAAGTGCTTTGGATATGCTGGAGTGGGGGAAAGTAATCTAGGACATCTCCTATCACCTGTGCACAGCCCCTGGGACGACAGCAGGCTCAGGGAAGGGGTGTCCTGGCTGGCAGTGTCACCTTGAGTCCTGCCTGGGACACTATCCCAGGCTTTAGAGAGGAGTGGGACAAGCTGGCCCTTAAGGACCATGTCATGGGACAGCAGCTGGGCTCTCATGCCCAGAGCACTGGCAGCAGCCACATGTTCTGACTCTCCACCAGCTGCAGGTGGGATGTGGCCCTTGGGCAGAAGTGTCAGGTTTTGGAAAGGGATGCTGTGTGTGCAGCAGCATCGTGTGCACTCAAGTCCTTCTCACTTCCCCTGCAGTGCTGGGCCAGGGAGAATTTCTGTGGGGAGTAACAGGAGGTTCTAGACTCAGAGTGATGCTGGCCAAGAGCTGTGGTGCTGCTACTGGCAGGGTATTACCTGATCTTCTCTGGGCTGAAGTGCCAGAGGGATAATGCAGGTGAAAACATCTGTAACTTCCCAGTTTGTTCCAACAATTTGTCAGCAGAGGGAGGAGGTTGCTTAGCTCCCAGGATGTCTGGGGTGTGGGTGCTAGCACAGTCCCAGGCAGGGGAGCACAGCATCCCTGGGCTTCCCTGCCCTCCCTGGGTCACAAAACAGGCTGAGAGGAAGGTGTGTCATTTCTGCCATGTTCAGGAAGGTGCCAGGTGCTGTGCAGAGCCACAGGAGCCTGTCCTTGGCTGTGCTGGAGTCCAAAGCTGCTTCACTTCCCAGGTGTGTTGCAGGTGTGGGATTGGCCACTGGCTCAGTGTGTTCTCATTCCCCTTTCCCAAGCAGGGAGTGCTCTCCCCTCACCTGCTGGGCAGGGCTCTGGTGCAGACAGAGCTGTGTTTCCTCCAGCTGTGTTCTGTAGCTGGGAAGGGGCTTGGGCTGAGGGTTTTGTAGGGTAGGGTCCTTGGGGCTGGGATGTGCACCTGGCTCTGCTGCCAGTGAATTTGGCAGGTACCTAAACCCAGCAGCCTGCATCCTCCTTTTACCTGGCTCTGGGAAGTTGTGCCCAGCCCTGCAGCAGGAGCATGGAGACAGCATCAAACAGCCCTGTGGGGTGTCAGGATTAGACCTTGTCTCATCTCCTAAGCCCCAGATCTGCTTTGTGTGCTTTAGCAGGGGTTTGCTTTGGTCCCCAGCTCTGTGCTGGGAGGTGCTGAGCCCCAGGCAGGTGCAGCTGCCTTCACTGGCCTGGCTTTGGCAGCCAGAGGAGCTGAGCAGAGGCCTCCCCTCCAGCTGCTCGTGGCTGCTGGGAACAGAAAGCAAACACGAGTGCCTGCTCCATAGTGGAACTGCCCAGGCTGAGATTCCCCTTGTCTGGGGTGAGAGGAAGCTCCTTGGCTGAAGGGAGAGGAGGAGGCAGGGTGAGAGCACAGGCAGCCCTCCCAGGGAGGGCCAGGCCTTGGCATCTCCTCCGTCGGCTGAGAACATTCTTACTTTTCCTGAAACCATTTCTTCTTTTGGTTTATTTCAAGCCCTAGTGAAAGGAGAGGGGAGCTGGCTGAGGCAGAAATCTCTTTATGTCCTTCAGTGTTGTTTACAGATTTGCATGGGGTCTTTCAACATGAGTGCAGCGCTTTTTCCACATAACTTTGAGGGAGAGGGGTGAGAAAGGCTGGGACAGGGAAGGGGAGTCACTGGGGGAGGAGGTTTGGTTCTGGTTTTTTTTGGTTTTTTTTTTTGTTGGGGTTTTCTTTTTTCCTTCTTACAAAGCACATTCACTTTGAGCCGCTCCCCATGCTGGACTCTTTTCTCCCTTGCCCCCCAGCCCTACACTGTGAAGTGACACTGCCTTGAAGACCCCTCGCCGTTATTTATTTAATTAAAAACCTAATTTGAAAGTGAGACAGAAGTCTGTCTTCTTTTTAGAGGCCAAGATGCAACAGTCCAGTGTATAATGATGGCGAAACTAGAATAGGTGTGCCTGCCTCTGCTGTCTGATCCTCTCCTGCCCTCCACAAGTGCTCTCCTCCAGGCAGGGCAGCTTTCCCTGTGCCAGGGATGCCATCCCAGCTTTGGAGGAGGCCCAGAGTTTTTCCCTTCCCGTGCTGCAGCTGGAGGGAGGTGTTTGTTCCTCTCACAGGTGCCCCAAATCCTCTAAAACCCTGGCAGCCTGTGCCAGGTCTGGGGCGTTGAGAGGCAGGGATGCATCCAGACTTCAACCAGAAGAAGTTCCTGGAGGCAAGTGGAGTGTTCCTACTACAACTGCATTGTGTTTCCCCACCCCACCATCTCTCTGTTCCATCAGAGACTCCTTAAATTCTCTTCTCCTGGCTCTGCCTGCCTGTCCCGGGGCCCTGGGAGCTCCAGCTCTGCAGCCCCCCCAGCTCTGCCCCGCAGAGGGTTGTACGAGGGCGGGCACAGCCCAGGGCAGGAGGGACGGGAGCGGGTTCCCCCCTTCCTCGAGGCCCCGACAGCAGCGGGAACCGCGGGTGTGTGCTTGGAGCCTTCGGTGGGACCGCGGTCCTTCCCCTCCGTTGCATCCTTCGACACCCAACGCTGCTTTCAGCTCAGGAAACCGAGCGGCAGGACCGGATCCCCCGGGCTCTAAAGACCCCCGGGGCAGGGTCCGGGTTGGATTCCTCAGACCCCCGGGCTCCGGGCCGGGCTCCGCAGCTCCGGGACAGGCTCCGGGCTGCATTCAGGGGCAGGCTCCGGGCTGGATTCTGCAGTCCCGGGGCTCCGGGGCAGGCTCCGGCCCGAGCTCCGGATCAGGCTTCGGTCTGGATTCCGCCGCCCCCCGGGCTCCGGGGCAGGCTCCGGGCTGGATTCCCCAGCTCCTGGGCAGGCTCCGGGCGGAATTCCGGGCAGGCTCCGGGCCGGGCTCCGCCGCCCCCCGGCCCCGGCTGCAGCGGCGGCGCTCGAGCGGCAGAGGGCGACACAGCGCCGCGCCCGGAGCCGCCCGCGCCTCTCGGGACCGCGCCCGGAGCCGCCGGAGCCCGCCCGGGCTGGGCTGGGCTGGGCCGGCACCGCCCGCAGCCCCGGAGCCCCCCGGGACCGCGCCCGGAGCCGCCGGAGCCCGCCCGGGCTGGGCTGGGCTGGGCCGGCACCGCCCGCAGCCCCGGAGCCCCCCGGGGCAAAGTCGTGCGGGGCCGTGCGGAGCTTCCCCTGCGCGTTCCAGCGCGGGGTCCGTGCCGTGTCCTCGGAGCCCCGTGCTGTCACATCCGTGTCCCCACGGTGGCCCGGCCCGGAGCCTCCCACAGCCAGGAGGCTGTGATGAGGAGGGGGGGTTTATCAGCGGTGAGAGAGCGTCTTAATCTTCACATCTACTGCACAACACAGCCTGGGCGTCCCCCCAGCTCTCCTGCCTCGGGGCTCTCACTTATTTGGTTGGGGTCTGCAGGCAGCGTGTGTGGGGCACATCCTGCCCTGCGGTGTGCCAGGGCCCCCGTGGCACCGCAGGGCAGGAGGAAGCTGCACCGGGGCACATCACGGCAGGGGAAATCTGGCCCGTGGTTCTGTCCCCTCTCCTGAAAGTCCAGGGCAGCCCGAGAGCGTTTCCAGCTGTCTCGGCTTCCCACAAACAGCCTTGACATTCTGCACAGGCCGCTCACGCTGCGCTTCAATCACCCGCAGTTATCAGCCATGGGTGGTTTCTGTGTTATTTGTTTCCTTCCCGACATCCGGCCTGGAGCAAACAGCCGGGATGCGACTGTCCCTGCTCCCCCCGGGGATCTGCTGTGGGACCTGTGCTCCAGCCTTTGCTCCTGTCCCCATCCTGGTTTCAGCATGTCCCCAAACCCAAGGGGAAGCACCGGGAGCCCCGGGATGTCGGAGGCTCAGGAAATACAGCCCAGTGTCTCAGCGGGTAAATCAGCTCCTGGCTCAGCCTGTGTGCTCACACCGGTGTCTGCTGCATCCACCGGCTCCTGGACGTCCCTGATTCCCCTCGAGAACCCATCTCGCCACCGAGCCAGCCCCACGTCTGCACAAACCCCCACCAGCGCAGCCAGCACATTTCAGGGGCAGAATTTTCCTTTTTGCCCCTTTTTTTTCTCCTCGGGACATAGGCCCGAGGCGGGTGGGACTCGGGCGGCTCCCAAAGCGGCCTCGGTCGTTTTCTTCTCCCCGTTCTCCTTGGCGCAGGCACGGGAGGGAGCCGAGCCGGGCGGGGAGCCCGGGCGGGGCGGGCACCGGGGGACTCGGGAGGGCCGGAGCCGCGGACGCCGGAACGGAGCCGCAGGAAGCGGCGGGGGGCGAGCGGGGTCGGGGTCCAGAGGGGTCTAGAGGGGTCGCTGCCCCGGCGCGCCCCACACCTGCCCCGGCCCCGCCGCTGCCGCCCCGCCCCGGCCCTGGGCGGGGGCACCGGGCCCCGCTCCGCCCCGCCCCGCCCGGACTTTACCTCCCGGCCGGGCCCGCGCCGTTCCGGGCCATGTGAGCCGCGGGGCCGGGCCGCGGGGCCGCACCGGCTGCGGGATGGAGCGCAGGAAGGTCTTCGTGGCGCTCGACGTGCTGTGCCTGGCGGTCGGTGAGGGCTCCGTACCGGCGGCCCCGCCGCGGGCGGCTCTGGAGCGTCTCCGCGTGCCGCCGGTGCCCCCGGTGGGGCTGGGCTGGGGCCAGCTCCGCGGGAGGTACCGTGGCTCCGCGATCCCGCCGGGCTGGGGCAGCGTGGCCGGCACCTGCCCGGCCGATGCCCGGGGCTCCGGGCCTCCGCCGGGAGCCACCGGCTCCTGCCCCAGCCCTCCCGGGCTCCGTCGGTGGTCCCGGTTATCGGGATCGTTCCCTTTTCCGGGAACGGTCCCGCGGGGGGTGGGAGCCCGGTCTGTCGCTGGCCGGGACGCTGCGGGAGGGTCCCGCGGCTCGGGCGGCACCGGGACGGTTCCGCCGCCGCCCTGGCCGCCTGCCCGCCGCCGAGCCCGGCGCTCCGCGGGACGGAGCGGGGCCGGTGGGTTCGGAGCACCCCTTCTGGGACCCCCTCTGCCCCCACAGTGCGGGTAAATGTTTCTAAAACTGCCGCAAGGAAGTAACGAATTAAGACGGACTAAAAATAAAGGCCCGGATCGGGATCGCGGCTGGAGCTTCCCCGGCTGCGGGGCGGGGGGAGAGGCCGGGTCCCGGTGCCGCTCGGAGCGCGTTTCCCTCCCGTGGGCCGGTGCTTTATATTTTTAGGGGAGCTTTTTTTGGAGGATGAAATTATCCAGAAAGAAAATTGGTGTCTAATTTGAGCTGAAAATGGACGTCTGAGGTGTGCGGGGAGGAGGCGGAGGAGGGAGTGGGGCCGGTTCCCTGCTCCCGGCGGGGGCGGCGGGGCAGCCCCCGGGGCTCCCTCCCGCTCGCTCGGTGAGCGCAGGAGGCGGCGGGACCCCCGGGGCGGGGACGGGCGGGGACAAAGGTGCGGGCTCCCGGGAGACGGAGGAACAAGGAGAGGCGGAAACCGCCGGGAAAGGCGGAACTGGGAGAGGAGCCCGGCCTAAGGTGGCCTCCGGGGAGGGGGGGCCGCTTCCCTGGGGAGCGTCCTGGAAGCCGTCCTTGGCCGTTCCTGAGCAGGGATGGAGCTGGAGCAGGGGCCCCATTCCAGCGGGGGGCTGGCACGGCTGCTGTGCGGCGCAGAGACCCCAAAACCCCTCTGGATCTCGGGGACAGTTCCGTGCTGGGTGAGCTCGCAGCTGCCCGTGGCCAGGGCTGCAGTGTGCTGGGTGGAAAAGCCTCCTTGTCCAGGCTGCCTAGGCAGCACAGCCTCTCTCCAGAGCCCCCAGGAGCCGGGGGAGAGGAGAGGCTGCCAGGGGCTGTGGGAGGATGAGGGGAGCAAGCCGAGTGCACTGGAGTCCCGTTGTGCCTGGACTGGGTCGTGTACAGCATCTCCCAGCGCTGGCTCTGCTGGAGCTGCTGTGAGGGCTCTGCTGGGACCATCTGGGAGCCCTTCCCTGCTGTAAAACAGGTTTACAAGACGTCTGTGCTCATTAATTTTATCAGCTCTGTCTTCCTAGGCTGGGCAGTGTGAGGAGAGGGCACAGGCTCAGGCCTTTCCCGTGTTGTGCCTGGGAGGAGCGGGGCAGCCGTAGGGGCTCTGTGGGTGCCCGTTTGTGGCTGTCTCGTGTGGTATCTGGGTGCTGCAGGCATCTGTGAGCTCTGATAGGGCCCTATCGCTCTCAGGGCAGTGCACTGGTGGGTTCAGGTCCTCCTGCCCTGGGTACAGGTGGCTCAGGACTTCATCCCTTGGGGGAATCCCTCCCTGGCATCGGGGAGCAGAGACTTAGGGGCGAGAGATGGGTGGTGCTGCGTGCTGGTGTGGAGCCTGCTGGCTGCTGTCCCCAGTCCTCACCCTCTCTGTGCCTTGCAGCGTCTCTGCCCTTCATCATCCTCACTCTGGTGAACTCCCCCTACAAGAGAGGCTTCTACTGCAACGATGACTCCATCCGCTACCCCTACAAGGCAGACACCATCACGCACGGCCTCATGGCCGGGGTCACCATCAGCTGCACTGTTATCATTGTAAGGAGCTGCCACCCCCTTTCCTCCAGGACAGGGTCATGCTGACGTGTTGTATCTGGAAGCTGGGGCCCAGCACAGCCACCTCCAGAGCCCTGGAAGGGCAGCAACACCCTCAGCTCGAGCCCTGCTCTGCTTGGGGGCTGGAGTGGCGAGAGCCACATCCCACGGGACTGGCTCCCTGCAGGGAGGGGGAGAGGGCCCGTGGGCTCCTGTGGGTGCCAGGGGCTCCTCTGCCACAGAGCCAGAGCATCCTGCACCCTGGGGAGCTGCTCAGTAGCCCCCAGCCCTCACCTCTTCCCCCTGGTCTCTGCAGATCTCATCGGGGGAGGCGTACCTGGTCTACACTGAGCGTCTCTACTCCAAGTCAGAATACAACAATTACCTGGCTGCCCTCTACAAGGTGGTTGGGACATTTCTATTCGGGGGGGCCATCAGCCAGTCCCTGACTGACCTGGCCAAATACATGATCGGCCGTCTCCGGCCAAACTTCCTGGCTGTGTGCAACCCTGACTGGTCCAAGGTGAACTGCTCCATCTATGTGCAGCTGGAGAACGTCTGCCAGGGAGAGAGCAGGAACGTCACCGAGTCCAGGTGAGCCATGTGCCACAGGATGTCTCTTCCACCTGCCCAGCACTGCTGGGCTCCCAGTGGCAGCCCCAGATGGGTATTGAGGCTCTCCTGTTGCAGGGCACAGCCTGTGGAGTGGGTAGGGGTCTTGTGGGGACCAGCTGGGGGCTCGCTCATGGCCTGACCCTTTATTTTTGCCCCACAGACTGTCCTTCTACTCGGGACACTCTTCCTTTGGGATGTACTGCATGATGTTCCTGGCGGTGAGTGCCGTGCCACAGAGCCCCCACGGCTCCCCTGCCCCAAGCAGCCCATCCTGGGCTGGCTGCTGAGCCCTGCCCTCCTCATTCCTCCCTTCCTTGCCACCAGCTCTACGTGCAGGCCCGCCTGGTGGGGAAGTGGGCCCGGCTGCTGCGTCCCACCATCCAGTTCCTCCTCATCGCCTTCGCCATCTACGTGGGCTACACCAGGGTGTCCGACTACAAGCACCACTGGAGCGACGTGCTGGTGGGGCTGCTGCAGGGGGCTCTCATCGCCGTCCTCATTGTGAGTGTCCCCTCTGCAGCCTGCTGCTCGCCTGGGCTCCTGCTTGGCCTGACACAGGCGTCCCCAAACCTTCTTTTCCAGGTCCACTACGTCTCTGACTTCTTCAAGCAGCGTCCCCCGCGGCAGTGCGAGGAGAAGGACCCGGAGCGCAAGCCCAGCCTGCCCCTCACCCTCAGCGACCCCGACCACAATCACTACAGCTACCGGGGTGCCCCGTGAGCCCGGCCTGCAGCCCTGCCCCTCGCCGTGCTCCCGGCTCCGGGGACAGCTGGCTCTGTACTGACCATTGGCTCTGGTGCCTCTGGCTGACACGAGTGGGGCAGCCCCGCCTGTTCCTGCTCCCGCAGTGCCGCGGCGCCTGGCTCCCCGTGCCCGTGGTGCTGCCGGGGCCTGGTGATGCCAGCGCCCTGCCCGTGGGGAGGGGATGTCCTCCCCCCCTGTGTCCTCCCCCCCCGTGTCCTCCCCCCTGTTTGTCTGAGTCACGCCCCAAGGCTGCCGTCCCAGCCCTTCGTGCGGAGGAAGGGAGGGAGGGAGGGAGGGAGGGGAGGGTGGCACGTGGGGGTGGATTTATTGGGCTGGCAAAGCACACTGAGCGAAGAGCAAACTCCTTGGGAAGTCTGAGGTTGCCTGGGCCGAGTGTGTGTTGTCCCTGTCAAATTATCCAGCCATACAAGTACAAATCCTCACAGGCGCAGAGGGAGCAGGACAGCTTCTGGGCTAGCTAAAGTGTTTTGGAAAGGATTAAAGCAATCCAGAGCTCTTCTCTGCTCCATTGATTACCTTTAAGAGCAGTCCTGCCCGCCAGCAGCTGCTGTGAGCAAAGGGTGCCTGGGCAGGCTCTTCTCTGGCTGTGCCCAATTCTGCAGTGCTGGGAGCCAGAGCTGTTTGCCCCCTGCCTGCTTCATGCCTGCCTTGGGCAAGGGGCTGCTGCTCCAGCCTTTGTCCCTCCTGCAGCTTCAGCTGATGCTTTAGGGTGTGTGGCGGGGCTAGGGAGACATTTTCTGTGGTAAAGGAAAATAAATGGGGATGTGGAGCTGTCCAAATGTCCTGGGAAAGTGGGGGCAATGGGTACAGAGCAGTCCCATCACTGACACGTGGCTGCCTCCAGCACTGGAGTGCTGTGGGTCTCTTTTTAAAATACATGCATTTTCATTACGATGTTGTTTTTAAATTAGATCATCCTTAAAGAATGTCTGTGTCAGGCCTGTTCTCGTTTTTTTCTTGGATGCTCCTGGCCTTGAAGTGGATGGGCTTAAGTGTTGGGGGTTTCCTTTTCCTAGAGAAAGGTGTCTGAAGCCCCTCAGCTGTAGGTGGGGGCTGTCAGGGCTGCTAAGCCATTCTCCCAGTTGCACTGGGAAAGGTGGGCTGGACCTCGAGCCGTGTGCTCCTTGCTTTGAGGTGTCACACTCACGGGGGTTGTGCTTTGAGCTGAAGAAGAGCCATCCCAGCCAGGTCCATCCTGGCACTGCCTTTGCCCCGACCCAGGAGCCTCCTGCACTCCTCAGCATCGCGGCCCTGCTCTGCGAGGGAGGAGGGAAAGCAGGGAGAGGCTCTTGGAAAAAGTGACGCTGTGTGCCTGCAGCTCCCTTGGCTGCCCCGGCAGCTGAGCAGAGGGAAGGCAGGGAGGGAGCTGGGAGCCTTGGAACAGCTGACCTGTGTCCCTCTGCTGCCCTGGGGACAGGTGACAGGGCCAGGCTGGGGGGGCTGGGAGCACAGGGCCTCCTGACTGCTGGGAAGAAGGGAGGGACACTGGGAGGCAGCACCCTGGAAGCCCGAGGGTCCCCCAGTCCCTTTGGGGGTGGGATGGGCAGTCCCAGGGTCAGCTCCTGCCCAGGCTGGGTGAGTGCAGCTCCTCTGTCCTGCTGGGAAGAGCAGGGAGCCCCGGGCTGGCTGCATGGTGTTGATGTGCTTGTGCAGTGTGGGTGACTCCAGTCTAGACAAGCCCTGATCAAAAACAACCTCCCTGTGTGGAGGGAACTCCCTTTCCCTGACGCCACTTTTCTGTTTTCCTCTAGAGTTTTTCTTCCCACAATCACTTCCCTGCGCCCCCAGCAGGGTCCTTCCCCCATCCCAGCCCTCCAGGCTGGTTGTTTAATATCTGTTGGTGTAAAACAAAGCTGGAGGAAGTGCCAGGGCAGGGCAGCTCTGCCGCAGGGTTTGCAAACAAAGCTCTGCAGAGGCTCAGCAGCTCCTGGAGTTGGGCAGCGTGGCACAGCCCAGGTTTGGGAGCTGCCTGCTTGATTTTCCTTTGGCTGCTGCGGTGCCCAGCAACTGCCCCAGTTCCTGGCACTGCCTCGACAGCTCCTCTGCACAGCCAGGAACGTGCCTGCTCCCTTCCCTGGAGATCTGATTGCGCCCCTTGGATGCATCTCTGGAAAAACCAGCCAGGCCACAATGCTGCAGTGTGTGGCTCCGAAGGGCAGGGCTGGCTGTGCGTGTTGGGAGCTTGGCTGCTGCATCCCCCAGCTCACAGCTGTGCCCTGCTGCGGGATGGGCTGAGACCTGACCAAACTCGTGGCATGCCAAGCCACATGTAAGCTGCAGGAGCTCCCAAGCCGTGTCCAGGCACAGCAGCCTGCTCCAGGTGTGCTCCCTGGCTCATCTCTGGAGGGACATGGTGCTGGCGAGGGGCTGCCTGTGCTGGCTCAGCCCCAGGAGTGCCAGCAGAGCACCTGGGGAAGGCAAAGCAGGTCCCTTGTGTGCTGTGAAGTTTGGGATCCATCCTAGAGCTGGTCGGTGCTGCTGCAGCTTCCAGCTGGACCCTGCTGCCTGGAGGGTCTGAGCCCCTGGAGAGGCTGGGTTGGGCTCCCCAGAGGCTGGTACTGCTCCTGGGAGCTGAGGAGAGGGGAAGCAGGCTCCAGGGGTGGGATGAGGCCTGTGTGCCTCTTTCTTGGTTCAAGGCTTGAGCTTGCACCTCACTGGATGGGTCAGAGCTGGTAAGAGCTCTGTCCATCCTGTTTGGCGAGTCCCAGGAAGCCCCTCTGGTGCTGAGGGTGAGTCGAGGCCCTGGGCAGTGTGCTGACTCGTGACTGGAGTGTCCACCGTGTTCAGTGGGTGACTCAGGAGCTGGGGATGCAGCCCTGCTGGTGCTGGGGCAGATTTTGCTGCGGGCTGAAGCCAAGCAGCGTTGGCCTGCGAGGCATGGCTGGGACCTGATGAGAGCCGTCCTGTTCCCCGGCGTCAGCAGCTCCACGCACCAAGCACTCTGCCAACACGCCTCCCTTCCAAAATAAGCTGCTTCTGGCAGCACACAGCCAGGATCTGGCTTGCAGCCCTGCTCTAGAGGGGGCCTGGAGCTGCCTCCCCCAACCTGTGCCTCCTGGCTGCTTCCAACCGTGCCACGCAGCATCCTCCCTCCCTTCTCCCTGGCACCTGGGACTCGTGCCGACTCCACGGGCTTGGATTGCCCCGGCCCCATCCCCGAGCTCCTCCTCGCTCTTGGCTTCTTTCCGCGGCTGAGCGGGGCAAGAGGCGGGCGAAGGGGCCGAGCTGCTCTCTGTGCCTGCAGCAGCTTCCAGGAGCGGGCAGCGGCCCTGCCAGGAAGGATGTTACTCATCCCCTAAACATCCCCTTCCCTGGACGGCAGCCACGGGAGATGCTGCGGCCAGATGCGCCCGCGGCTCCGGGGCCTGAGGTGGCCCCGGCTCGGGGATGTGCTGGGGGACACCGATGCCATCGCACCCCCGGGTGGGAGGCTGGCAGCCCTGCCCGAGGGCAGCCCACGCCGCGTGGGCCTTTCCCCCTGAGCGTGGCGGGGTCGGGGAGGCGGTGGCGACCGGACCAGGACACGCGGAGGTGGCAGCGCTGGCCCGGGGGGTTTGGGGGGGCTCGGTGCGGTGGGGACACCAGGGACGGGGACCGGGCGGGGGTCTCGGAGCGGCCCCGGGGGCACCGGGCGGGAACGGGCACTGTCCCGTCCCACCGGGGCGGCAGGGGGCAGCAGGAGCCCGGCGGAGCCGCCGAGCCGAGCCCCGGTGCCCCGGCCGGAGGAGGTCCCGGTGTCCCGGCCGGAGGAGCCCCCGGTCCCGATCCCGGTCCCGGTTCCTGTCCCGGCAGCGCCGCCGCCCAAGCTCCGGTGTCCCCCGCGCTGCCCGGCCCGGTCTGTCCTGCCGGGATCCTGCGTGGAGCCAGATGCTCCCTCCAGCCTCTCTCCTCCTTCTCCTGCTCCTCCTCCTCTGATCCCCCCAGCGCTGCCTCCCCCACTCCCTTTAATCGACGTTTCCGCTGAAATGTGCCTTTTCCACGGATTTCTTTGATCTCGCTAAGGGAAGAAGGGAGCTATAGAAGAAATTAAATCTGCGCAGGAGGAGGAAAGGGGAGAGGAAAACACTCTCGGGGGAGGCTGTTAAATGTCGCCTCTTTCTCACCAGAGCACCAGGCAAGAAAGAACCTGTCCTGGCCGGTGCCTGTCCCGGGTCACCTGCGCTTGGCGCTGGCCGGGAATGCCCCTGGGCAGGGCAGGGGTTTGGGTTGGCACCGCTGGACAGGAGCCCCGGCCCCGCTGGAGCCGCGCTGGCATGCGGGGAGCTGGCAGGCGAGCCCGGGGAAGCAGCCAGAGGGTACGAGCAGCAGTTTTGTTTTCTGCCGCTTGCCAGGGTCCGCGCAGAGCTGCGGCGCTGCCAGGGACGCGCTCTCGAGAAGAGCTTGGCTGCCGAGCCCGGGCCCGGCGGGGTGGCTGGCTCTGCCCCACCGGCCCTGGCTCCTGCCCAGGGGCAGCTCTGAGGGGTCAGGGAGCTGTTCTGGGTCTTTTTCTGCCGCGCTCCTACCGAGCCAGGGCTGCACCGCCAGGCTCCCGGCGGCCGCAGGTGTCCCCGGTGACGGCGGGGATCTCCCCGGTGCCGGCCTGTCCCTGCCGCCGGGAGCTGCTGCAGGCTGGGCACTGCCTGCAGGGCACCCACCGTGCTGTGAGCCAGGCCGTGCCTGCCAAAGCTGAGCCTGCCCCCGGGCCCTGTGCCCGTGCCGGGATGCACAGAACTGGTGATGGATGGCACTGGTGCCGGGGATGGCACGGAGGGACTGCTGGTGGGGACAGCAGAGGTGGCAGTGACAGGATTTTCCTCATCAGTGCTGGAATGGCGTTTCCCCACCCCTGCCAACATCCTGTGGGGACAGCCCAGCCAGTCCCCAGTCCCCAGTCCTGAGTGCCTGAGGCCTCCCCAGCACGGCACAGCACGGCACAGCACGGCACAGCTGCAGGGGCTGTCCCTGGAGCAGATCCTGCCAGGGCCCCTGCTGGGGTCCCTGCTCTCTCCTTCTCCCTTGGTCTCTCCACTCAGCCAGCCCCTCACTTGTCTTGGCCCCCTCAGCCCCATGCTGGGAAGCAGAAGGGCAGGGGGGACAGGATTCCCAGGCTGGGGAGGGAGCTTTAGAACAGAGATGGTGCCTCAGTCCAGCTCTAAACTGCTTTTTAAATTTTTTTTCTATTTTAATATTTTGCCTTAACATGACCTTGGCCAAATTATTTCCCCTCTGTTTGAGATTTATGGGCCTCTTCCAGAAATGATCTGTTCTGTCTACGAAAATAGACATCGTGCTGTTATTACATTTTAAAATATAATAAGGCTTGGGAGACTGCTCTTCTGCTGCTCTCCCCAGCAGCTCCCCTCTCTCTCCAGAGCACAAACCCCGCTGGTTGTGGTGCAGTGAGAACAGGAGCATCCCCAGCTCCAGAGTGGGGGAGTCTCTCCCTGTCTGCCCCCAGCAGAGCTGGAGCAATGGGAGCTCTCCCATCTGAGATCACAGCTGCTCTGGGAAAATCCCACGGAGAAAAGCCAGGGAACAGACTGGGCAAAATGGGGCTAAACGAGCTGGGCTTCCTTGAGGGCAGTCCTTGAGTCAGTAAAGGCAGCAGAACCTGGCTGGAAGCTGGAAAATCCTGCACAGCCCATCACCCCAGCACTGCCGAGGCACAGTCCTGCTCTATCTCAGTGGCTTTGCTGAGGTTATGATTGTTATTGTTCTTCTCTTCCAGGGGCTGGAGGCAAGTTCCTGTCACTTGGGCGGGCAAAGGGGGGGCTCTGCTTCTCCCAGCCTGTTCCCTGCCAGCTCTGCGGGCCACGGTGTGTGCCGTGAGCCGAGGCACCCGCAGCACCACGAGGATGGGGCTGTGGGGAGGAGGAAAGGGCTGCTGGCCTGTTCCTGGATTAAGGTTAAAGAGGGGGAGAGGCTCCTCACAGCTGCTGCTCCTCAA